TTTTCATAAAAGAAAAAAGCACCATCACGAAATAAACGTAGTTGTCGCATACTGTTTTCACTAAATGTTTGTGATGTAGGTTGTCTTTTTCCTCGACGATCGTCCAACCAGTTAAAAAACTCATCTTTGCCTTTTTCAGCATCGTTAATCCATTGATCAAAATCTGGTACACGATCGACAAGAGGTACATTCTGTTCATCATACATTCGATCACTCATACTATCAAAAAATAGCCATTCATGTTGTAATGGATTTCGTTTTTGACATTTGACAAAAGCAACATAATGACTTGTTTCAATACATAATACAGCAAAAAGATTAAGTTTAATTTTATCCATTGAAACTCGTTTTGTGTGATGAGTATGATTTGATCCAGCTAAATGTTTATGCAAATCAGCTGAGCAACTTGTACAATAACATGTAATCGTAGCATCATTTGTTACTGTAGATAATGATGGTGATTCTTTTTTATAGCATTCATTACAAAAATAAAAGTCCTTTGATGTTTCAGGATCGTGATTTGTTTTTTGACATTTGAGACAAACAAGTTGAACAATAGAATTATCAAGTGTAATTTCACGATCAGGTATAATATAACGATAAGAACGTTGAGCAAGTGCATAACGAGGAGCAACCAAAACAAGAAAAGGTGGAATTGTTGCTAGTTTAGCTGGTATTTCTGAAAGTGAATTTCGAAATATACTAGCAATATTTGTTGAAGGTAATCGATGTGGGTTAGCATCAAACATTTCCCCTATTTATTATTTAAAATAAACAAAATAATAAGATTGCTAGATATGAGTGAAAGTGAAGAGACATACAAATAATATTTGTCGTAATGTTTGATTCATCTGGTTTTGGTGGTTGATCAGGTGAAATCGTTTTGAGTGGTGCATATTGAAAAAGTGTTTCAAATGCTCGAAGAAATTCACTTGGATCTTTTTCCATTTCTTTGAATGATGGATCATGTGTTGCTTCACTAAGTTGAAGTCGTAGATGAAAAAGAGCATCACCTATTCACAAAAAACAAAATCTTGTTTTGTAAGAAAAAGCAAAAGAAAAAGAGATGTTACGTTGAACAAAGCCATTTCTTTGGTCGCGAAGTACATGAACAATAGTTTCACGTAGTACTTTTTGTAATATTTTTAGTGGTTCTGTTTTGACTTCCATATGAAGTAGTTTATCAAACACATTATTATATGCAAACATACAAAAGATAGTTGCATCCATATAACATGAGTTTGAATCACCTTCGATACCTTTATTTTTGCCAAGTATGGGTTGATCAAGTGGTGGTAGATTCTCTACTATATTTGTTAGTTGTGGAATATCTTTTCGACCTTTTAAACGTTCATTATCTAGTTTTTGTTTTGTAACTACATCATGTGCATTTTTCACCGACATATAAAAGCCTCTATTTGGATCATCGAAGTGTACATGATTTGTGCGACATTTTGGACATCGTCCATCATATCCAGAGAGTGACTTATCACTCTCCACTGCATATAGTTCCTCAGTACCACAATTGACTCTTCCTTTGACTATACATTTTTGTTTATTGATATTAATTTGTGTGCCTACTAGATGCATAGATTCTGTTCCATGATCAATGTCAGTGTTGTTGGCAGCTCCTATTAAATAAATCGTTATCAAGAAATGAAAACTAGAAGAGCAAAAAATGTGAAATAACCTGGTGAAGTAGTTTGTTGAGTTGGAGGTCCACCGTCTGGATTATAGTATGATGGTAGGCCTAAATAAAATAGTAAGAATAATATGAAACTGATGATAGAAGTAAGACTTATTTGTCAAAAAGAATCTCAATATACTCACCCGGTGGAACTGTATTCGCTGGTGTAGAGTTATCATTTCTACCGCTATTAGATAGTTGTTTCTGGTATGATGGAGAATTTCCATCCGTCGTCATGATTTATCGTTTGTATAAAGTGTAATAGTAAAATCTTTAAAATTAAATAAAAATCCTTGATTGATGTGTGTAATTTACTTGGAAATATCTCTCAAAAAAACGACATAAACAAATTGTTTATTTTTAATTTGTCAATAAATTCATTTCCCTAGATGTCGTCATATTTCTTTATAAATTAATAAAATACTTTATACACATATCGACATAAAAAGTAGCGCCATAGTTATTTCATTGGACATCATAATGATTCAATCAAGATTTATATCTCTTTTTTTTCCTGCGACACAACAAAAATTCTTTTATTTTGTTTGTTTTTTTTCTCTTCAAATGATAACAACAAAAAACTTCAACAAAAACTCATTGCATAGCAATTACAAAAAAAGCAAAAACAAAACAAAATAATTATCATGTCGTTTGAAGTTCATCGGAAGACAATGGACTAAAATGAAAATCTTACAAAATAAATTAAATAAACTAAATTTTTACTTGGTTTGATCAAGATATTTCATTGAATGCCAACTAAAATCTAGAAAAAGTACTTGTTGTGAAAGTCGTTCAATACGTGACATATGACGTTCTAAAATATAAGTACAAATATTAGAAAAAAAAGTCTTTAGAAGTATGTTTATTCTTGCCTGTATAAGGTAATAAACTTTCAACACATTTTTGTCCATTTGGAAGTTTTAAAATTTTATCTGGTGTTACAATACTTAATAACATTTTAATTATTATTTGAGCTTCAGTTGAATGTCTTGTGTTTGTATTCCAATCAATTACATATGAAAATAATAAATCTAGGATAAAATAATTAGAAATAATAGATTATTTATAGAATATTTACTTAAATGATCATCTGAAAATTGTAATAACGTATTTTTTAAATGATCAGTTCCATCGATTTCATTAAGAATTTCTATAGAGAGAGAGAAGAAATATAAAATATAGAAAATGTCTTGTTTTTTTTACCTTTAATTATTGTTAATGTTCGATATGGTTGATTTAGGTTGAGAGCGATTTTTAATGCTTCATGATATTTTTTATTCATTATTAAATTTGAAACTTCTTGTTCCCTATTTATTAATAATAAAATAAAAATAGACGAGATTATATATTGACTTACATTAGTAAAACTTCTTCTACTTTTTCACGCTTATTCTGTCGATCTTCTTCTGTTGAATCCTAAAAAAAGAAAAGGTAATTATTAATAGTAAAAGTCTACTAATAGACTAGGTAAACTTACACGCCAAATAGTAACAGATGAATCACTAGCACAAGTAACAAGAAGATTTTCATCGGTTGAAGCTGCCATTCCCCATATTTTTCCTTCATGTGCATCAATACTTTTCACACAAGTACTTGTTTTAAGATCCCATAATTTCAATAGACCATCCGAACCACTAAAATAATTCAATATTAAACCAAAACAAAAACTTCAAAAATAATCTACCTGCTAATTATTTGAGTACCCATTGATAAATAAACGATTCGAAGAACTGATGCATCATGTCCTTCGATTGTCTAGAAATTAAATGAAATCCATATTTAGTTTTGAAATAAAAAAAAATATTTTACTTGTAAACAATTATATTCTTTTGTTGACCATATTTTAATCAAACCATCAGCAGAAGCTGTTGCTAATTCCTAAGAAAAAACTATATTGTTTTTTATATATTGAGAAAAAAATCATTTACTGGATTGACAGGTGAGAATTGAACACACCAAATTCCTCTTCTATGTCCAGATAATACAGCTAATAATTTTTGATTTCGTATATCCCAAATCTAAATTTATTCAATAGAAAATTTCCTTTTTAAATAATCTTGAACTAACTTTTGCAGTTTTATCTGCTGAACCAGTTGCAAATTGTTTATCGTTATATGAAACTGCTACACTATTGACTTCTTTATCATGAGTTTTTAATGTAAATAAAGATGAAAGATTTTGTGGTTCTTTCATTTCATTATTATCTAATACTAAATTTTCTAATGACCATACTTTTGCAGTTGTATCTTGACTACCCGATACAATAAAAGCATTGGAATTTCTACAACAAAAAATCCCATCACAATCAAATAAAATCTTATTTCAAATTCTTCTACAAACTTTGCAAAAGCAATTGCAGCAACATCACCTGTATGTCCTTCAGCCATAGCAATACAAGAAAATACTGATTTATCAGTATCATACGACCATATTCGTATAATATCATCCTAAATTTATAAATTTTTACTAGAAAATGTTTTTTCTTATCAACAAACTTTTGAACATGTTGCAATCAAACTATGATCATAACTGATATCTAAACCAATAACAATATCCGTATGACCTTTAAGCATTTGGCAATGCCATGTATTCATATTGAATATTTTCACTTTTTCGTCATTACTAGCAACAACAACATATAATGGATTATTTTCATTTCCATTAAAAAATCGAACATCAAGAACATCACCTAATTCACCAATCAACTTTAAAGAATAAAAAATAAAAATATTTTCGAAAAAAAAACTTTTTGTCTTTTACTTGTTTATCTAATTTTAATTTCTTTAGATTAAATGCAACGATATTATGATCAACTGTATTTGTATAGAACATCCGTGTTGTTTCATTAAAATAAGCATTAAGAAATATTTGTTGATGTTCAATATCTTTACCATATTGATTATTCGCGACTTTTTCATATGTTTTATCTTCTTGAATTAATAAACAACGTCCAGTTGTTCCGGACCATAATTTAATTAAACCAGAATTACCAAATGTAAAAAATAATGGATCATCAGAATTGAATGTTTGTTTAAGTTTTAATTGTTTGAGATAATCATGAGATGGTAAAGAAATGAGAGCTTCAACTGACTGAAAGAAAAAGTTTCATTTTTTTGAAAGAATAAACAATAGATTTTCTAACAAACCTCCATGACAGGAATAGTACGAGTAGATGATAATGTTTGAAGATCCCATATGATTACAACACGATCACGAGCAGAACTTGAAAAATAAAAATAAATATACTTGTATTTGACAAAAATAATATTACCTAATTAATGTATGATTATTATGAAGAACAAGTGAAGTAACTGTACTCATATGTCCTTGTAATATTGTAGGTGTAGCACCAGATACATGAAGATTATGTAAATAGATTCGACCATCATCTGAACCACTGATAACATGAATTTTTTTTGTTTCTGATGTATAGAATAAAATCACACTAAAAT